ATTGTCTTATATATGTTTTTGAAAAAACTTAAATAGTGACCCTCGTAAAACCAGGATAATTCAAATTTCATTTATCGAATAAATGTTTTTATTAGTACTTTATCAAAATTATCTGCTTTCGTTAAATGTCAACTTATGTAATTCATCGGCAGTAAATAGTTTTATCCTTGCAAAAATACGTATTTCAATGCTTAAAAGAAAACATAAACACAAAAAAGTCTTTCGGCACTCTCTCGTTTTAATCATGTTCCGGCCCTGGTCCCATTTTACCAAAGTCATCGATCATCAAAACACATTCAAAAGGACACATCATTATGGATCACTTCTAAAAATGCTATTAACTGAATAAATGCACAATGTGTCGAAATATTAACAATTGTGTAATTGATGTGATCATAATGATGGTCCATTGTCAGTTTAGAAGAAGCTCGCTTTAATTTTTTGAAAGAAATAATTTCGATATTACCGTGTTGGAAGAAAATTCTGAAAAAACGGGAGGATCGCAAAATATTTATTGAAAAACTGGAACGGTTCAAGAGATAATTTTGGTAAAATATCTATAAGCTAGGGAATGAATGGAAGATTTAAGATATTTTTTTTCATATTCTTGAATTTTGCAGGCAATAACGGATATTTTTGAAGGTATATTCCCATATACGGAGGATAATCAAACTGTGAGCTCACAGAATTTTCATATGTTTCTGGTATAGTACACCTCTTATTTTTTTACAAATCTCCTTTATAACTACATTTTTATCCGGTAATTTCAGGTAGAGTACCAGAAGGAATTTTTCGGAAAGGATCAGAAGGCGGTAATTTTCATAAAAATCTCTAATATTTTTGTAATGATTTCTTTAAAACACCTATATAATTTCATTTCTTATCTGGTAATTTCAGGTATCAAACTTTATTTGTGATTTTATTCAAGATCCTCAACGCGAAATACAAGAACCTTATTTTACAATTTCTGAGGTACATTGAAGATTACTTTTCAATTTATAACGTGGGTTGATAAGTTTTTAGAATCGGACACTAGATGGCGACACAAGTAAATATCCATCTCATTTTAAGAAAGAGCCATCCATTTTAGGAATGCCAACGGAATTTGAGCCAAATTTGTTCATGGAATCAGTGGTTACACCACTTGAAGGAACATAACCTCAAAATCGGACCAAATTCTTTATTTCAAAGGCCGGGCTGGATGCAAAACTATTTCTCTCTCCAGGGGATAGATAATGTTCTCACCAGATAATGATCTCACCAGTTCACACCAGAAATATGAAGTTTATACGTTTTCAACTTGATGAAATTTCGCCACTTCCCGAGGCGGTTTTTGGTTACAATTTAAAAGTATACATTTCCGTGAAAAAACAGTATTTTCTTGATTCAAAAAATGCAAAAACGACAAGGATTCTTTGGCATTGCTTCATTCCATTCAAGATAATAAAGCAATATTTTGAACAATACACTTCCAAGAAATACGAGCTAGAGCCAAAAACTCGATTTCTTGACCTTTTGCCTCATAATGCATTAAATGGATTCAAACAGACATCAGCAGTTAATAATAAATAAAAATATCAATTTGATTAATGCATAAAATCCATTTAACATCGCTATAAAGTCGCCCCTTGATTCCGCTCTGGGAATTACGGAACTCGTTACGAGTGATTTTTATTACCCAAAAATTGAAGTAATAAATTTCCAAAACTATTCTACGGAATGTTTGAGATCTAGTCTGGATTATTAACGCGAATAGTGCAGTCTTTTTTAAGAAAAAACTGGAGGTTGGTCCCTTCCAACAGTTGTAATTTCCGAGTCCATGAACAGATTTGGCTCAAATTTCGTTGTCACTCCTAAAAAGGATGGCTCTTTCTAAAAATGAGATGGATATTTACTTGTGTCGCCATCTAGTGTCCGAATCTAAGAACTTATCAACCCACGTAGTATTATACTCAGTGGGCATTTGAACGCGTTAAAATAACGCGTTACACCGTTTTTTTTAGTGTATCGTTTACACTTTTATGTCGACACTTTTGTATGGAAGTTTTACACTACTTTTATGGTGTATATTTTACACTGATAGTGTATAGCAAGTCATGTATACCATTACACCACAGATAAATACTTTAACCAAAATCATGTCCAAAATACATTGCAAAAAATTTCGGTATATTTTTTTCACGAACGGTGTAAAATTTTCAAGTTTTCGATAGAAGTTAAAAGTATATTTTTCTAGTCAACAAATTTAATAATTTTTCCTCTGTAAGACTACAATATTTTGGATTTTTTGTCGTTTCTATGCCCAAAAAATTAAAACGAAAGGTAGTTCTTCGACTGAAATTTGAAACTACACCCTCTAAAATTTATGCGCCTTTGATATTATGCCGATTTAATAAAAATACTTTTTTTGAAAATTTGCAATTTTTTCTCATTTTTCATTTTTACTTCAAAAAAGCAATTTTTTGCTCTCAGATCATGAAAATATTGAAAGATAAGCAATATTGCAATAATTTAAGTCCCAATATTTATGAAATTAATTCATTTTAATATTCTTGAAGATGTGATTACAAACATGTCCTCCATATTTCCATACTTCACACGACAAAAGTTATCAAAAATATGGCTGCAGTGTATATTTTCCCTTTTTTCAGTGAATTGATTACACTGGAGATTTTTGGTTGAATCGGCACACTATTTTCGGTGTAAGGTATACACACTAAAAGTCTGATGTATATTTTTCACTACTTACGGTAGTGGTGTATATTATGCTCCAAAATCCAGTGATTTATTTATACCATGCGTGTTTAATTTACACTAGATGATAGTGACGCCTGCGCTACTTAAATTTCGTGTATATTTTTCCTGTAAAATTTAATTTCAAGGTTTCTTTTACACTAAATATCGCAGTGTATTTAATACACCGAAATTTACACCAAAAAAATGGTAAAAATACGTTTAATAATTCAAATTTTGCTTGAATACACCAAAATTGGGCAAATACACCGAAATTTTTTGCGATTTTACACTACTTTGAAAAATTTTGCCCACTGAGTAATACTGCATATTAACATACTTCATTCGAATAAATGAAGAAAAAGTTTATTGTTCATTTATATACATGGTGTCTCATATATCAGGCTCTTTATCGAATTTCGAAAAACCCTTTGGGGGTATGTTTGGGGTAAAAAATAGAAAATAAGATTTCCGGAGTGTCAGTGCCTCATATGGGGTTAAATCTTACAAAGTCGATTTTACACTTTTTTGGTCGAGAATTCTTGAAAAAAGGTGTATGAGAAACATATCAATTCTAATGTAGTTTTGTATGCTGATTCCGAATTTTTTGGGGCTTCAGGTAAGAAAATCACACCTTGGGGGTCTTTGACCCGCGACTCTCTTAGGGGTGAGAGGACTTGGAGGGCAGGGATCCAAAAAAATTTCTCTCGTAATTCTGAACAACTTTGTAGTACATTTTTTTTTGATCCGATGAAGTTTCGCAAAATTGGGGGTACCTCCACCCCTCTGGGAGAAAATTCAAAATTCTGCTCGGATAGAAATTTTCTATTTTTTACCTCCAACATACCCCAACGAGTTTTTCGAATTTCGCACGCCCTGATAGTGAGCCTGATATAGGTATGAGACACCCTGTATAGTATGATATAAAATTTAAACTAATGATTTAAGCATTTACGAGGGTACCTCCTTAATTATTGAGAAAATAATTAATTTCTTAATTATTTCTTAATTGCTTTTCGAAATATTCGCCATGATGATCGATACACTTTTGCATTTGATGAAACCATTTGTCGTAGCACTTATGCTACTCCGAAACCAAAACGTGTGTTTTGAACGCATTAACTGCTTCTTGTGGTGTTGAAAATCGTTCACCACGTACTTTATTCTTCACGCTCGGGAACAAAAAGAAATCGTTGGGTGCCAAGTCAGGACTGTACGGCGGATGACCCATCAATTCGATGTTTTGAGTGGACAAATATTCAGTTGTTTGATGAGATGTATGAGAGCTCGCATTATCGTGATAAAGAATTATTTTGCGACGGCGGTTGTTTTATCTTATTTCACCAAACACTTCGGGCAAACAAATGGCGGTATACCAATCAGAATTGACGGTCTTACGATCCTCTAGTGGAACTGTTGCCACATGACCATTTCTCCCGAAAAAACAGGCGACCATCGAACAACTTTTGTTGGGTTATCTTCACTTTGGAAGACCCATACAGTTGACTGCTGTTTACTTTCGGGCTCATACGCATATATCCATGATTAGTCACCTGTGCATATGGTATTGACATTTTTGGAAGCACCGCGATCGAATTTTTTGAGCATTTCTTTGCACCAATTCACACGAGCCTCTTTTTGAGCAATTGTCAAATTATTTGGAATCCAACGCGAGCAAATCTTTTTCACGGCTAAATGTTCATGTAAAATTGTATGTATTCTGTGGGTTCAAGTGCCTAGGGATGCCTCAATCTCACGGTATGTCACATGACGATCTTCCATTATCAGTTCACGCACAGCATCGAATATTTCTGGAAAAACAACTGATTTTGAACGACTTTCTCTAAACTCATCTTCGAGCGAACGACGACCATGATTGAATTCTATGAACCAGCGATATACAGTGGCCTCAGATGGTGCTTCATCGCCATATAAAAATTTAAGTTCATTGATTTGGATAATCCTCGTCGAAAGTTGTGATAAATAATTGCACGAAAATTTTCTTTTGTTAATTTCATTTTTTGGCTGAGACGCAATTTACATGTCACTGTAAACAATACAAATAGCGATCGTATGACAAAACCATCTGAGGACGTTCATGCTAAAAAAATGTCTAACTTTACGAATATGACAATGGTTTGCATCCGGCAACACCAAATGCTGCCAATTCTCAATAATTAAGGAGCTACCTACGTATTGTTTTTTCCAGTATCAAATTTATGTATTTGTGTCATGAATATTGAATATCCGTCTTTCAATAATTTCATATTTGAATTGTGTTCGAAATAACAATTTATGATATGTTCGAACTTGACATTTAAATTATAACAAAGAATTACATAGAAATATATTTTCCACGATAATTTTTTTTCAAATCTAGTTTACTGATTATTTATTCTCCAAGCAAAATGAGATTTGGAACAACAATTACGACAAAGTATATCAAGATATGAAGCGGCCCCTATCAAATTATTGGATTGCATCATCTCACAATACATATTTGACTGGAGATCAATTTTCAAGTGAATCATCAACGGAGGCATATGTAAGAGCATTGCGAATGGGTTGCCGTTGTATTGAACTTGATTGTTGGGATGGCCCTGAAAATATGCCTTTAATTTTTCATGGTCACACTTTTACGACAAAAATTAAATTTCGAGATGTAATTAAAACTATTAAGGAGCATGCATTTGTAACATCTGAATATCCAGTGATTCTTTCGATCGAGCAAAACTGCTCGCTTGCGCAACAACGCAAAATGGCTCATGCTATGATTGAAGTATTTGGTGATATGTTACTCATCCAAAGAGTTGATAAAAATGAATATCAATTACCCTCACCACATCAACTACGGCGTAAAATTATTTTGAAACATAAAAAACTTCCAGAAATCGAAGAAGATTCTGGTTCTCGTTCTGCAGATGAAACTGATAATGTCCGTAATATACCGAAAGAAGGTCGTCTTTATCTTCTAGATCCAGTAGATAAAGTATGGAATTTATATTTATTTGTACTAACGCAGCACAAACTTATGTATAAGCCAGATCCTGATGAGTTGCGTGATGATGAAAGTGAAACGCATCTTTCAAGACCCAATGAAAGTGTAGTAAACAAGGTATACATTGATTATGATCAAACCATTTTTTAGATTATTTTTCTATTATTTTCTAAACGGAACGAAATATGGAACATTTTCTGCTTAATTTTGCGGCCACTTGGAAAAACATGATTCAAGTTCAAGATATGTAAAAAATTTCAATTTCACCGACGCTTTGAAGCATAGACAAGCCATGATTTGGAGACAAGAAGAGAGCTACGAATTGACACTGAACTCTGGCATTGTCTATCTGTCTCTCTGTGGTTTTTATGCTAGGGGTTAGACACATGTTCAAGATGATGAATCTGTTCGGTTTTGATGATTTTTATGATTCAACGAGTCCAAGTTGGCGAAAGACACATAGGAACATTTTTTAAAACATAACAAAAAAATCATAGAACTACTACACAGAATTTTCCGAAGATTTTACAGTACTCTGAGATTACACCGATTATGATTCTCAGTGTCTAACCTCTACCTTTTAAGTGCAAGTACAAATTGGTACGATACACGAGCGAGATTCCATCATCATGCAAAATCACAAATCACAACTCATAATACACTGTCAGTTTTTAGCCGTAGGTCTTAATGGGAAACGTGGGACCGTACTACTAAGAAAAACAAACTACTCGACATCCATATTTTGAATTTTTGAGTGAAGAGCCACACAAATTTTAAATAAATTACACCTTGAAAATCAGAGTTTGAAATAATGATAAGTTTTTTCAATTCATTTATTTGAAAATCAATTACCATTAGTTAATGTAAATTGAAATTACCAATTTATTTTTTTCAATTCATCAAATTGAATTTTCAATTACCATTTACATTCAAATTGAGAAATGAATTGAAATTCGTGAAGTTGCAGAGATTCTAGTTGGCTCCCATATTACTACTCTCGATTGTTTTCAATTTTTTACCGTCAATTCATTTATAATAACATTTTGAATGTAAATTAAAATATATATATATTTAAAATTTAATATTAATATACAAATTAAAAAAATTAAAATTTGAAACTGTTTTCATTGCTGCGATTTCTTTTAAACCTATTGACACACCAACCGTTATTGTTGAATGTGCGCATTCAAATATTAACCTCACTTTTAACATTAGCTATGCACAAATGCCGCATAAGGCATCAATCTCTGCAACTTCACGCAATTGAAATAAATTTCAATTCATTTATCAATTTGAATGTAAATGGTAATTGAAAATTCAATTCAATGAATTGAAAAAAATAAATTGAAAATTTCAATTTACATTAACTATTGGTAATTATAATTGAATGAATTGGCATTGAAAAATTCGAAACACTGTTGAAAATTGACTTTGTCATATTTTCCTCATATTGCCTCAACGGCTACATATGCGTGCCCACTTCAAAAAGTTAGTAAACCATTACGTCAATCGTACATCTAGAGATGTTGGGGACTGTATAAAATATCATTTTCATATTTTTTTTATTATTTGTTACTAATTTCAATAACTTAATTTTTGTATGTGATGCACCCCCAGGTAGTAAATGATGAGTTACACTTTGGTGAGAATTGGTTTCATGGTAAATTAGAAGGTGGTAGAGATGAAGCTGAACAACTATTAAAAGCGTACAAGCATCTGGGAGACGGAACGTTTTTGGTTAGAGAAAGTGCAACATTTGTAGGAGACTATAGCATATCTTTTTGGAGACGAGATCGGCCACATCATTGTCGAATTAAATTAAAACATGTGAATGGCATTACGAGATATTATCTAGTGGAGAATTATATTTTCGACAGTTTGTATAGTCTTATTATGCACTATCGTCAAAATTTGCTGCGAAGCTCGGTATACTCGATTTTATCAAACCCACTTTGAATCCTCTTAAAAACACTTGATTATATATCTTTAAACATTTTAGGAATTTTATATAACATTAAGGGAACCCGTTCCACAACCAAAGAAACATGAGAATCAAGAATGGTTTCATCCGAACACAACGAGAGATCAAGCGGAAGCGGCATTATTACATTTGCAGAGTGATGGTTCTTTTTTGGTGAGAGTTAGCGAATATAGCCAGCAAACATCATGGTAAAGATTTTTAATCAATTCTGAGATGCAAATGGCAAAGTTCCACCCACTTTAAACGTCCAGAAAGCATGAAATTCAGTGATATATAACTGTGCCACACTTGAATTAATTCTATTTTCGACGACAGGTGGTAGGAATATGCATCTCATTTTTTTCTTGGCTCCATTGACTCATTTTAATTAACCTTTTTTTCTCCTTTCATTGTAACTGAAACTTCACATATATGTGGCGTTTTTTCGGCCCGTAACATGTGCCTGTCATGTTTGTTTTTGCTTTAACAATTATTTACTGCTATAGCTCCACCATTTATGTTGTTTCTTTTACGTAAGTTTTTTGATATGTTCTGAAATCAATATATATAGTACGACTTCCGTCTTTCGATTATCCGTAACCTTTGGTGAAAAAACACATAGATTTGTTGAATTTTTTCCAAAGATGTTTGAAGTACTAAATTGCAACCATATTTTGATTAAAAACAAACTTTCGATAAAAGTTATAATTCGATGCTCTTTCTGTTTTTGATAGTCCATCGGAATGATTGGTCCCATACTCTACGAGGTTGTGCTATATATATCTATAAATTACTTTTAAATTTATAAATACATATTTCATTTAAATTCAATTAAGAATTCTTTCTCAAAAAGGGCATATCGAAAGGTTAAACATTGTCGCATAAATGTTGAAGGACGTTTGTATGTTGTTGGTGAGCTTCTATTTGAAAGTCTGGTAACACTTGTTAATTATTATACAAGGAATCCACTATATCGAAATGTGAAGTTAACTTTCCCCATATCAAAGGATATGATCAAAACGATGTTGAAAAAGTACATCAGTGGAACAACGGTAAGCTTCATATTTTCTAGGGGTAGACACCTATGAATTCAATGTTATTTACGTGATTTCTTTGAATTTTTCGATTGCATTGATTCCTCGATTTGGACAAAAAGTCCCTCAACATTGGACATAAAGCTCAAATACAATTTTAGCAATCCACAGAGATCACAGAGATCGTAGAAATCACAATTTTTCATAGAAATTTTCTTCGCTTTTCAAATTTATCGCTTCCTATATCGCATTTTATTTGTATTTTTTGGTAAAATATGTGAATATTTGGGAATATATTAAATAAATAAATATTAATAAATATGTATAAATAACTAAATTTTATACAAAAAATTAAATCGGTATTTTTGAAAATAAAATGCCAATGATTGTGCGAACGATTTTTCGAAGGCATAAAATTTGAAAATTCCGTAACTTTTGTGATACCTGTGAGTTTTCTACCAACTATTATTTTCGTCACAAAATTGATATCAAAAATTTTATGTTTCAAGTTTTGGTTTCGTCACTCGTTCTTCCCCTCGATAGAGGTTTTTCATTTGATATCAATAGTTTTGTAAGCGCTATTTTTTAAGAATTTGAATCTTTTTCAAATACAATCGAGATATGAATTTTTCGGGTTTTTTTGGATCAAAATGATATAAAATATGGTTCATAATGGTGCGGAGAAAAAGTAGCTCTTATTTTTCTCCAAATAATACTGCAACGTGAAATTTTTTTCACATGGTTTATTTGTTGTAATACAACAAATAAACTATTAATAAAAAACTTTATGTTGCAGTATTAAAAACTAAACAATTTCTATACAATTGTAAAGTCAACAATCGAAAATCATGTCCAGTTAAAAACAAAAATCATCAGGAAGCAACCGATATGGTTTAATAGGCCACTAATCGAGTTGAAAAACAAAGTCAGCAAAGCTCATCGGATTAAAAATA